TTCTCTTGCTTGTATGGGATCTCAGAGAAATATTTTAGCCTTTCTCCAATTGCTTATGTTACCTTTGGCCTTTTTATAAATAGTTTTTATTGTGTTGAGATAAGTTCCTTTTATACCTATTTCATTCATTGTCAAATGCTTTGTCTGGTCCTGTTATTTTCATCCTGCATTCTGTTAGTGTAATGGATTGTATTAATTAATTTTCAGTTGTTGAAATGTTCTTGGGTATCAAGGATTAAATGTTCCAACCATGGTGTGTCATCCTTTTAATGAGGTGCTCAAGTTGGTTTGCTGTTATTTTACAGAAGATGTTTGCATGTATGTTCATAAGGGATGCTGGCCACAAGTTTTCATGTATTTCAGTGTTTTTCTGGTTTTATAATCAGAGTAATGCTGGATTCCTTAGATGAGTTAGGAAAGGTACCCCATTTTCAATATTTTGGAAGAGTTTGAGAAGGATATATCATTAATTCTTCTTTATTTGGTAGAAATTACCCATGAAGCCATCTAATTCTAGGATTTTATAAAATTCTTATGTTCTGAATAAACAGATGATAATGTGCATAATTATTGTGTACAGTGTGATGTTATGATTCACATATATTGCTATGTTTGGATGTAGTCTGTCACCAAAAGCTTCATGTGTTGGAAGTGTGGTCCTCAGTGTTCAGAGAGATGTAGAACCATTAATATGTAGGGCCCAGAGGAGGTCCTTAGGTCTTGGGGAATACTGTCCTTGGAAGGGATTGAGGTAGTTTTCATGGGATCCTGAGCTGGTTCTTATGAGAGGGTTGTTAGAAAGGTGTGAGCCTGGGGGCCAGCATCGTGACTTAACAGGTTAAGCTGCCACCTGCGATGCCATCCTATGGGAGCACCAGTTCAAGTCCCAGTTGCTCCACTTCCAATCCAGCTCCCTGCTAATGCTCATGGGAAAGCAGCAGCATATGGCCCAAGTCCTTGGGCCCCTGTATACATGTGAGAGACCCATATGAAACTTCTAGCTCCTGGCTTCAACATGGCCCAGCCCAGGCTGTTTTGCGGTCATTTGGGAAGTGAAGGAGCAGTTAGAAGATCTCTCCCTTTCTCTCTGTGTTTTCCTCTCTCTATAACTTTGCCTTTATTATTATTATTATTAACTGAATGGTTGTATGCTTTCTTTCATTTTTTAAAAGATATTTATTTATTTATTTAAAAGAGTTACAGAGAGAAAGAGAGAGAGGGCGAAACAGAGAAATCTTCTATCCACTGGTTTACTCCCTGAATGGCCCTACTGGCCAGGGCAAGGCTGGACTGAAGCCAGGACCAGATGCTTCTTCTGGGTTTCCCATACGAGTTCAGAGGACCTAGCACTTGGGCCATCTTATGCTGCTTTCCCAGGGACATTAGCAAGGAGCTGGACTGGAAGTGAAGCGGCCGGGACCCAAACTGGCGCCCATAAAGGATGCCAGAGCCGCAGGCGGTGGCTTTACACGCTACACAACAATGCCAACCCTGTAACTCTGCCTTTTAAATAAATAAAATAAAAATATTAGAAACAAAAAGAGTGAGCCTGACCCCTCAATTGTTCCCTGGCTTTTTGTCTTACGTGGTGTCTCTCGCACACACACATTCTACTGCCATGATGAGATGCAGCCAGGGGGCCCTCAAAAGAGCCAGCACCATGCTGTTTGGAGTTTATGCCTCCAAAACTGTGAACTAAATAAGTCCTTCATCTTCATTAAGTTGATAGCCTCAGGGTATTTATTACAGACAACAGACTAATACTTATACATTGTGGAATGTCTAAGTCCAGCTAATTAATATACCACACTTACATCTTCCATGTTTTTCATTTCTTTGTGGTAAAAACATTAAAAGCTACTCTTGCAGCTATTTAAAAATATACAGTGCACTGTTATTAGCTCTAGTCACCACACTAGGCTTCTTCTCTTGTTGGAAGGTTTTCGTTGCACATTCAGCCTCCTCACTCATTCTTCAAGCTGTTCAGTTTCCTGTATTCTAGATTCTACTTCCTGGATTGTGTGTTTCTAGGAATTTATCATTTCTTCCAGGTAATCTAATCTGTTGGTGCATATTGTTCCTTGTGATTTCTTTTCTTTTTATTTTCTTTCATAAGCTGTAATATCTTCTCTTTCATCTGATTTCATTATTTGAGTTTTCTCTCTCTTTTTTTAGTCTAAAGACTTGTCGATTTTGTTAACTTATCCAAGATTCAGATCTGTTTCCATCTGCTTACCTGTCCACCAGTGCTGAGCCCCATGGAGGCAACCTTAGCCCCTCCCTCCCCCCCAGCCTGCAACACCTACATGTGCATGATGTGGGTACATGCACACCCACAAGCACACAGATGCTCCTTAAAGTCATCCGCAAAGGAACTATTTAGTGCCCTGTGGTAAGGACAGGGCTCTCTACTGCAAACAAATGTTTCAGTTTAGAGGAATTAAAAGGGCAAGAGGACACCTAACCTCTGGACCCTCACCTCCAAGATCTGTATTCCTGGGCAAGGTGGCCCAGCCTGGTAAACCGACTGATGGACTAGTCCTGGCTAACCCGGCCATTGCCTCTGCTGATCCTGATTTCACGTTGAAGATCCAGAGGTTTGAAAATAGCATCTGAGGAATATGAGTGGCATATCCTGCCTTTGTCCAAATTAATCCCTCTGAGACAACTCCTAATGCCAGGGCATCTAGGTAACCGATGTGCGCTTCCTCTCTCTCTCCCTCTCTCTCTCCCTCCCTCCCTCCTCCCTCTCCCCCCCCTCCCTGTCTGTCTCTTTTTTGTGTCCCCTGGCTTAGTAGGATTTGGAGCTGCACAGGGATCTGAGAAGGTTGTACTCAGGTCCTGACCATTGTCACAGAGACCGGGTCTGGATTCATCTATGACATGAAACAAGCCAGACCCCAAAGCTTCCTTATGCTTGGTGTCAGGGCTTCACCTCCCAGTGTAGCAAAGAAGCCCAGTTCACAGCCAGTTCTCCATCCTGAGAGCCCTCTCACTTACCAGTTGCTGGAACAGAGTGTCTGTGATCTGGGGGCACAGGACACTCTTGCTACTTTGTCCGCTCCTTGGGGAGATGGTTACAGCCCTTCTGCTATGAGGCAGTTCCTTCTTTTGTCATCTAAAACTGGACTCTAGAAAGATGAAAATGAGGGATGGAAGTATTATAGGAAGAGCAGAGGAACTGGAAAAGTCTAGTCACCTCTGTGCTTCTTATGGATGGTTCAGTCAGCTATCACCTTCTCTTCCCTGCACATGAAAGTCCTCCCCTGCCCGCTGTGACCCTACTGTCCTGTGTAGAGGAATAGGGGAGTAGTAGTCAATTTCAATTCCTGGAAATGAATCTTTTCCTTGAACATCAGGAGTAGAAATGATATCACTTTCTATTGCCTGGCGGTGCCAGGATGCAAGTGGTACAGAGATGTGTAACGCTAACCTTGGCCCAGATGTGTGGGGAGGGCATCCTTGGGATTCCTGCTGCCTGTGCAAAAGCAACCTGGTGCCTCAGGTCTTGGCTGATAAAGGGCTCCTTTCTGCCTCCTCACCTTAAGTCCATGTCCTTATGTGTTGATACTGAGTCTTTTTTTTTTTAAGATTTATTTATTTATTTGAAAGTAAGAGTTACACAGAGAGAGGAGAGGCAGAGAGAGAAAGAGAGAGAGAAAGAGCGATCTTCCATCCGAGGGTTCACTCCCCAATTGGCTGCAACGGCTGGAGCTGCGCCAATATGGAGGCAGGAGCTTCTTCCGGGTCTCCTGTGTGGGTGCAGGGGCCCAAGGACTTGAGCCATCTTCTACTGCTTTCCCAGGTTATAGCAGAGAGCTGGATCGAAAGAGGAGCAGCCGGCACTAGAACCGGCGTTCATATGGATGCTGGTGCTTCAGGCCAGGGCGTTAACCTGCTGCGCCACAACACTGGCCCCTATACTGAGTCTTGTGTTGATATTCTAACCACAAGTGCAGCCTAGATGCACAGTTAAGTTGAAGCATATTGAATAGTTGCCCCCCACAGCTGTCTTGCCCCTGCCCAGTTCTAATATTTACCCCTGCATAACCTCCTCTCCTGTTTCTCTCTGAACTGTGATGGGTACCAGGGTGTTCCTCTGCCCTGTCCTTCAACCTGCATTGACAGCACCACAATGTGTCATGTCTGTGACCTTACAGCCCAGCCCACTGTCTGTGTTCCTGACCACTGAACCCAGTACCTTTAGCAGTTTGCCACATCTGTGTCCTCACTGGATGGCAAACTCAGAAATCGTAGTGTCTGGATTGGGCCATGTTGACTGGGACAATGCTCCGATTACCTTGAACCTCTCATCCAGGACCTTAACCAGGGTAAGGTGGGAAAGATCACAACCTTGTCTAAAAATGTAGTAAATGCTAACGTTTTTACTTCAGGCAGCCCACAGGTGCTCTTTGGTGTGCCTCACCAAATATGTGTGCTGACACAAGTTGACCCTCAACTCACTAGAATCTTGAATACCTAGAATCAGATGACTTCTCTTTGTATCCTGGTGAAACACTGTATACAGCTTTAGAAAGCAGGTGAATACATGGGAGCGTCCTGCTTTATTATTCTAATATAAGTTTTTAAAATGCCACTGAGGGGCTGGCCTTGTAGGGTACCTGTTTAAACTATCACGTGCAATGCCAACATCACATATTTGAGGAATAGTTCGAGTCCAGGTGCTCTTCTTCCAGTCCTGCTCTCTGCTAATGCTCATGGGAAAGCAGGAGAAAATAGCCTATGTGCTTGGGCCCCTGCACCTACATAGGAGACCCAGATGGAGTTCCAGGATCCTGGCTTCATCATAGCCCAACCCCAACATTATAGCCATTTGGCAAGTGAACTACTGGATGAAAGATCTCTCTTTCCTTCTCTCTGAGTCTGCCCTTGAAATAAGTGAAACAAATATTTTTAAATGCTACTGAAAGAGTGCATTAATTAAATGTGAAAACGAATTCCATTAATTTTGCACATTGTTTAGAAAGTGGCTGTTGAGCCTCCCTTCCGTTTCTTGTCACTTCTTCACCCCTTACACTTTGCACCCTTCCTTTCTGAGTAGCCAGCAGTGCAGTGTGATGGCCTCAAGTTCACATTCCCAGAAATGCCATGGATTCCTGCAGAGGCAGATCTCTTTGCTATCTTGGCCATGAGGTCACTGAGCTGCTGCCACTCTTGGAAGATCCCTCACTTTATCTGAGGACTTGAGTCAAGGCAGTGCTACAGGATGGAGCACAGCCCTAAGGCTAACTGGACTACTCAAATGATAGCCACAGAAATGAACTTCTGTGGCCCAAGGAAAAATAGGACCACCACAAGCATTGATCTTTGTATTAGGTGATCTCTTTGTCTTATGACACTGTTCCACTCAGTATGTGTCCAGCAGGGCATCCTTAGGAAGGTCTTGGGATCATGGAAGCAGCTGTTATTAGTGACTAATAAATTTCTTCCTCCATGGCTTACAGGTGAGTGAAATCACTGGGCCGAGGACTTTCCCTCTGGATCTCTGTCCCCAAAGGATTGTCTGCCATCGACATCTCCAATAAGCTATGCACTGCTGGACACAGATGAGTTAGTTGTGAGACTGTCTTCATGACTTTGACTCAAATGTGGATGAGCCCCAGTGCTTCCCAGAGTTCCAGAGGACAGGTGATAGCACGAGTGTACATGTTTCTGCGAGCTACAAGTTCATGAATACCAGCTCCCCATCTTTCTTGCTTTCTTCTCACTGTACTGCCCCATCAAAACTCAATTTATACTTTTCATAAAATAGGGTCACAATCATAGGAACTGCAGGTGGGGAATATCTGAGAAGAGACTGCAGTTGACATTTTCCCAGGACCCAGCATTTCTGTTGTGTGAACTGTAGTTCAGATTGCATTTGCAGTGTCAGAGATCAGGAGAAAACTTGAGACTCAGTTGCTTCTCTGTTCTCTTATCAAACCATAGATTTCAGGCAGTTCATTTGTTATCTCAATAATAGTTAATAGTTTAATTTTCTCTTCTCAAAACTTAGGCACAAACACTGATTTGGTTTCACTTTTCTGTTTTTGCAAGTACAGCAGATTTAGGAATGGGACTACCTCCACAGTCCTCTGTGACTGCTCATCGTCACACTGGGGGTGGGGACAACAGAGTCAGGTGTCAGTCCTGCCCAGCTGCCTTATATCTGCTGCTTGCAGGGCCTGAGCACGAGTAGCTTCCAGGAGAAGAGCCTGGACCACAGCAGAGGACGACTCCTGAACCTTGAACTCCTGCGAGCCAGCGACTCGACACAGGGCTTCCTGGTAAGTCAGCAACAGCATTCAGAGCTGATTTCTGTCCTCAGAGATGGCTTTTCCTCAAGAATCTGATGGGCAACAAAACATCATGGGGTGAGGAGGGATCATGGGCTGAGGGCCCTGGGCTGCTCAGGTGAGAAGCCTGGGAGCCTGATGGCAGGGAGGCAGGATTGCTTCATCGCAGTCTGGGGTCATCTTTCAAGGTAAGATAGCTTAAAGCTAGTGCTTTGGACATTATGTCCTTGTCAAAATGAACCCAATCATGTTTCTTTCTCTTCTGCCTGCCCCTTATAGTCAGAGGTATGTGTATCAGATCTGTGTTGTGAAACGTCAGTAGATATTGTATAAGGTTTGCTGTGACCCAATCCTATGCTGTTTCCAAGTCATGTTTTCTTACCTCCTCTCCTCCAAGTCAGCATTGTTCAATCCTTACATCCCAGGGAAAGCTAACTTGGGGTAAAGAATCACATTCTGCATGCTAGTTGTGCTATAACTGAACAGTAATTTCTAGATCGGTAGGTCTTTTTCATTGTCACTTATGTTTTATTGTAAGGCAGGGGTGCTGATCATCTTCTCGTACATCTATGAATAAAAGAAGAATGCTGGGACCCTTTGATAATGAATACCGTTGGTCAGACTTGTATCATTTTGTAACAGTGATATCTCAAATCCTTCTCACTTTTTGCCTCATGCTCAGGGAAGAAGATATTTAAGACAAAATTTCAAGTGTGCATCATGAAAACTAGGACTTGGAACTGAATGAATAAGAAAGGGAAATTGGGAAGATGAGATTTTTGTGAAGATCAGCTTGTGCTCCTTCAGTGTCATTCTGTGCACATCTCATGGGTCCCTTCCCAACCTCAGCAAGTCTGGCTGCAGAATGGATTTCTGTGATCATAGAGAGCTTTAAGTTCTCGTTTAATTCAGTCTTTTTATCCACATCCTCTAGGTCATATCTCCCCTGCAGTGTCTCCTGGGAGCTTTGGCCTTGGATGCTACTGTCACCCTTGGTACCTCCCAGCCTTGCCTTTCATGCTTCTTAGGTGCTCTGAGGCTGTTACTACTAGACCTTCCTCTGGGCCTCCCTGCCCTGCATTGCAGACCCCCTTGGATGTTTTTGCTGGGCTGCACATGCACCAGTCAAGATGTTCTGCTGTGTTGCTGGTCCTCTGCTTCCCCTGGGCCTTATGTTCTATATCCTCATCCCCACCTTCCAGTCTTCGTTGGGCACTGTCTTGAGAATAAATGTCCTCCTTGGTGGTTCTGAGGATCTGTCTAGATTCCAGTATTTCCAGAATGTTACTATTTCTACTATAACCCAGTGTTCTCCCTCCAGTCCAAAACATTCGATGGATTACTTCACATTTTGAGTTTTCCTTTCTTGCTAGTGGAACTTCTGGTAACAGCAGCCATGTTTGCCCAACCAGGGGCAGGGCCTGTAATAAGTGATGGCCTCAGCTCCTTTCAGAAATGCACCCCAGGCAGGGAGAGGATAGGAAGGCATGCCCTCACCTCTCTCACTTCTCCTTCCTACACAGCTGCTGATGCCTCCCATGGCTGAATTGTGAGTGCTGGAAGCTGAGGGCCCCCTGCTGATATAATCTGTATAGTTATCATCCAGGGACACGAAATAAGATGGGAAGTTCAAGGTGGGCCTGGGAAGAGACAAGGGAGAATAAACCTCTAAAGTTGTTCCCTACACTCTTAATGTGTTCTGCTACCCAAGAGATCTTCAAGGCAGACATTGAGGTACAGTGGGTTAAGCTGCTGCTTAGACACCCATAATCCTTATTGGAGTTCTGGGATTAAGGGTTACTCTGCTTTCTTTCTTTTTTAAAAAAATATTTATTTATTTGTTTGTTTATTTATTTATTTGAAAGTCAGAGTTACACAGAGAGAGAAGGAGAGGCAGAGAGAGAGAAAGATCTCCCATCTGCTGGTTCACTCTCCAGTTGGCCGCAACGGCCAGAGCCAGGAGCTTCTTCTGGATCTCCCACGCAGGTGCAGGGGCCCAAGGACTTGGGCCATCTTCTACTGCTTTCCCAGGCCATAGCAGAGAGCTGGATCAGAAGTGGAGCAGCTAGGACTGGAACTGGCGCCCATATGGGATGCTGGCAAGGCAGTGGCTTTACCCAGTACACCATGTAGCGCTGGCCCCACTACCTCTGCTTTCAATCCAGTTTCCTGCTGATGCACCCTGGCAGGCAGGTAATATCCCATGTATGTGGATTTCTTCCACCTGGAGACCTGGATGTAGTTCTTGGCTCCTGGCTTTGATCTGGCCCATCCCTGGCTGTCACAACTATTTGAAAATTAATCAGTGGAATGGAAATTTCTCTCTCTCTTCCCCCTCTGTTTCTATCTTTCAAGTAGATGAAACATAAACATTTTTATAAAAGTGACCCATATGAACTTACTTTTATGTTAATCAATAATACTCAAACTTGTAGAAGGTAAGACTAGGATATCTGTTGCCCAAGTCTAGGGGGAGAAGGAAATGGGGTAATATTGGTCAAAGGATACAAAGTTTCCTTTATGCAATATGAATAAATTCTGGAGATTCAGTGTCTGTCAGGATTATTGCCATGAATAAGACTGTGTTATATATTCTAAATTTGCTAAAAAGCAAATCCTAAAACACCTCATTACCTACACACACACACACACACACACACAACCACACACACATTGTTAACTATGTAGAGGTGATAAGTATGCTAATTGGCTGGTTGTGATTGTCTTTACACAATGTGTTCATATATCAAAACATCAAATTGTATACCTGAAATATATACAGTCTGTATGTCAATGATATCTCAATAGAACCTATGAAAGAAATGATTAACACATGATGAAGTTAGAGAATAGCCGCTTCCTTTTTTTTCTATAAAGTTTTCTGGAAACAAGCCACATTGTTCATGTATGTGTTATCTTTGTCAGCTTTTCCAGGAAAGCCTCACATATATTTTTTTTTTTATTTATTAGAAAGGTTGAGTTACAGAGAGAGGTAGAGACAGAGAAAGAGAGAGATCTTCCATCCACTGGTTCACTCCCCAAATAGCCACAATGACTGGGGATGGGCCAGGCTAAAGCCATGAGCCAGGAGCTTCTTCCAGGTCTCCCATGAGGGGCCCAGGTACTTGGGCCATCCTCTACTAATTTCCTAGGCTCATTAGCAGGGAGATGGATCAGAGTGGAGCAGCTGGGACTTCAACCAGTGCCCATACAGGATGCTGGTGCTGCAGGCTGGGGCTTTAACTGGCTGTGCCACAGCCCCGAACCCAAAGCCTCACATATATACCAGATGACTCTTCTCAGAAAATATTTGCCCACTTCTATCCTGAAAGGATCCATGGGAGTCCCTGATTTTATGGATTTTTTATAGTTTTCTAATAATCACCTCACTATTCCTATCATAGAAAAGATAGAGAAGAAAATGTATGTGTTTTATTTAACAAATACTATGTGTGTATACAGTAATTTATTTATATATCTGTTTTCTCACTTCCTCCTTGCCTTGTGACATAAATATGCATAATTTTTCCTTCTCCCCATTAAATACACTATATTTTTTAAGAACAGCATTAGTTCACAGACAAATCAAACAGAAAGTTGAATTCCATATATTCCTTGACCACCACCCCTACCTACACAGATACACACACACATTCACATACAGAGTCTCTCCTGCTATCAGCATCCCCCACCAGAGGGGTAGGTTGTTCACAATGGATGAACCAACATTGACACATCTTTATCTCCCAAAGTATGTAGTTTACAATAGGGCCCACTCCTGGTGTTGTACATTCTGTGGGTTTGGACGACTGTGTAATGACATGAATCCCCCATTGTAGTATCACACACAGTGTTTCACTGTCCTCACTGTCCTAAAATTCCTCTGTGCACCACCTAGTCACCTTCTCTTCACCTTAACCCCTGGCAACAACTGACCTTTTTCCTGTCTCTGTAGACTGAACTTCCCAGAATGTTACATGATTAGAATCACACTGTATGCAGCCCTTCCAGATTGGTTTCCTTTGTTTTAAAGATTGATTTATTTAATTAAAAGTCAGAATTACAGAAAGAGTGGGAGCAACAGAAAGAGAAAAAGATCTTCCATTCACTGGTTTGCCCCTCAAATGGCCTCAACAGCCAGGACTGAGCCAGGATGAAGCCAGGAGCCAGGAGTTTCTTCTGGATCTCCCACGTGAGTGCAGGGGCCCAAGGATTTGGGCCATCTTCTGCTACCTTCCCAAACACATTAGCAGGGAGATGGATCAAAGTAGAACAGCTAAGACTTGGACTGGCACCCACATGGGATGCCCAGACTGCAGATGGTGGCTTAACCCACTGTGCCACAGCGCTGTCCCCTAGATTGATTTCTTTTAGTTTGTAGTAAACATTAAATGTTCTTTGGTACATTCTTTTTAATACTAGATTAACAGATTGGCCAGGCAGGGATAAGTTCTGGATACCAATTTCCCAGGGCTACTAACGTCTTAGAGAAGATTGCCTTTTCTAGACATCCTTTTGAGAGAGTGTTGTGTAAAGAGTAGGATGTGAAGCTCCCAAGAGTTCAAGGATGAAAGATGAATCAGTGAACTCCATTTAGTGTAAGAAGAATGCAGTTACCTTCAGGGCAGGAATTTTGCTGCACAGTGCATTCAACTGGAACCAGAGTGGAATTGCTAGGGATTCAAACACCAGAATTCCTACACAAGCAGTCCACTTTATATTTTATTAAACTGTACTAAGCCTATACTACAAATAATAGTACTCCAATAATTTAAAGAATATTGGTTTTTCAGGGGGCCGGTGCTGTGGCACACTAGGTTAATCCTCTGCCTGTGGTGCCGGTTCTAGTCCCGGTTGCACCTCTTCCAGTCCAACTCTCTGCTGTAGCCTGGGTAAGCAGTAGAAGATGGTCCAAGTGCTTGGGCCCCTGCCACCCACATGGGAGACCAGGAAGAAGCTCCTGGATCCTGCCTTCAGATCAGTGCAGTTCCGGCCGTTGTGGCTATTTGGGGAGTGAACCAACGGAAGGAAGACCTCTCTCTCTGTCTACCTATCCCAAAACAAAACAAAACAAAACAAACAAACAAACAAAAAAAAAAAACTCTACCTTTCAAAAAAAAAACTTAAAAAAAAAAAGAATATTGGTTTTTAAAAGATGCCAAATTATTAGCATGCCAGGATGCCTACCTCTTGAAACAGCACAGAGATATATTATTAGCACAATCTAAGAGAAGGACCAACAACTTTAAAAGATTGAATTATTATTCCAATTCTTATCTTAACTTGACCCATATGTTTTGGTGGATTTTTGTTTTTTTTCTTTGCACAGTTGGTAATACATGATTTCTAGCATTGACTGAGATCATGGAACAACATCTAGGATTATCTTTGCACTGCTTGAATGACTTGATCTGTAAGAAATGTGGCATAGTCAGATGTCGAAGTAGTAGCTTCATATGTGGGTTTTTCTGGAGCACTCCGCTAATAATTCTGCTTTTCATAAAAGATTCTATATGATTAAGTTACTTTTACAAAACAGAAAGTTCAAAGAAAGCAAGAGACATAGATATGTTGAGTTATTACATTGACTAAATGAATATAAATCTAGACTTGAAGAATGAAGAAGCCTTGAATTACTGAACCTTTGTAATATGCCTAGAAGAAAATAACTCATGGACATGAGTCTGAGCATCAGGAAAAAGGCGCAAGAATGACAAATTAAGGCAATTTAAGAAATGTATCAATCAAATACAATAAGTGACCTTTATTGACAGCTTTATTCAAGCCAATTATGTCACATTAAAATGTAAATAAGCAAACTAAATGCTATAATGTCTTTTAGGGAAATTTGACACAGATTAGGTATGATGATAATTCTGAATATATTTTTGTGATAATCATAGTGCAACATATTAATTAAAACTTCTTAGAATTTCAAGACAAGTACTAAAGGATTTATGCATGGAATGATGTCTTGGATTTGCATTAGAGTATTCCAGTGGGATTAGAAGAAATAGGGTCAGGACATGACCAAAGGAGACAGCTATGAGAACACAGCAGTTTGTTAAGAGAAAAGCACAAAGATGTCCTATCATAGTAAACCTGTTCAGCTTTTCCCTACCTTCTTTCTTGTAAGTGTTTTTTGTTTATTTATTTATTTATTTATTTATTTATTTATTTATTTTTGCTCACAGTCATGGGTGCAGCTCCCTCAGCTACATACTCTGAGAGACAAAACCAAGATTTAGACTCCAGCTTTAAGGCATATCTTAAGAACTGCAAGACAGAAAGCAAAATCATCTCTCAGGAGACCATCCGTTCAATTCAGTCACACTTGGCAAAAGGAGATCTTCCAGGGGCACACTCTGTGATCAGTGATGCATTAAAAAATATTGATGATATCCCACTCAACATCGCTGTGACAGGGGATTCAGGATCAGGGAAATCCAGTTTAGTCAACACCCTGAGAGGGATTGGAGATGAAGGAGAAGATGCAGCTCCCGTTGGAGCAAAGGACACAACCATGGAGAGAAAGCCATACAAACACCCCAAGTTTCCCAGTGTGACAATATGGGACTTGCCTGGCTTTGGAACTCCTAATTTCCAGCTAAAAGGTTATCTAGACAAAGTAAAATTTGGTGAGTATGATTTATTTATTATTGTTTCTGCTTCATTCTTCACAAAATATGACCTAGAACTGGCCAAAGGGATCAGAGCTATGAAGAAGAACTTCTACCTTGTGAGAACCAAGGTGGACTTTGATTTACAAAATGAACAGCAATTTAAACCTACTACCTATGAAAGAGAAAAAGTCTTGGAAGAGATTCGAAACAATTCTCTGAAGGAATTTTACAAGAATGATATTGAACTCCAAACATTCCTAATCTCCAACAAAGATTCGTCTGAGTTTGATTTCTCGATCCTGATGGACACCCTACTGAAAGATCTCCCTAATCAAAAGCGCAACAAATTCATGCTTTCCCTGAGGCAGCCATTGAAAAAAAGAAGGAATCTCTAAAGCAGAATATCTGGCTAGGAGCCGTGAAGGATGGAATTTTGGCTACCTTGCCTATGGCGTCTGTCTTTAAGGACAATGATGTGGAGAAGCTGCAGGCAAGCCTACACCAATATCGAGTCTGTTTTGGAGTGGATGATGAATCTCTTCAGATTTTGGCTAAGGATTTGCGAGGGCATGTGGAAGAACTCAAAGCAATTATTAAATCTCCCTATTTGTTGGACACTGAACAGGATGAAACAATAGGGGAAAAGCTTTTGAAATTTCTGGATGGGCTCAGCTCAGCTGATGGAGGTCTTCTTGCTACGGGTCTTTACTTTAGACAAATTTACTTGCAATTTCATTTCCTTGACATAGTGGCCAATGATGCTAAAGTTCTCCTGAAAGAGGCTTATTCCAGAAAGCAATTGACTTACCATTAGACTAAAATCTTCTAGATGTTGAAATCCAGATTCATGGAGAAAAGTAGCACAGTGGATGTCATAAACAATATACTGAGTTTCCTGGGGGCATCCAGCTTTCAACTGATACTTACATACTGCACATCCCTGGACCAAGGGCCCAGAACATCTTTGAATATGGGCAGAGCTAAATACCATGCATCTACTTCCACATCAGATGATTTTACCTTTGTCAGAAATTTAAATGTGGCTGCCACCTTGACAACCATTTAGCTCTGATGGAAGCTCTTTGAAACCCAGTTATACCCCATCCTCTTCTGCCTTGTAAAGACTTCTCCTTCCTTTGTGGTTGTTTGTGATGTAGCCTAACTTTCCTGCATCTCACTGATCCAAACCTGACACCCTCACAGCTGCTGACCTTGATAAAGCCTATTGGTCAGCAGCAGAGTCACACAGGTGAGCTCTGTCTTCTCACCATCTTCTTAAAGCAGCCAACCCTGAGTCCCATGAGAAAGCCTGAGGAACAGCACCCAAGGTCTTTAACACAGGCCTGGCCCCACAGGTCCACTCTTTTCCCTTGCTCCTGCCCACTGCTTTAGCTCTATACCACCTCTGTACTTCCTGTTGACATCCTCTCTATACCTCCAGCCACTCTGAATATTGCAAGAACTCAGTTTCTTCTGGTTCATGCATTTTGGTGTCACCTCCTCCTTGTGTTTCAGATGACATATTTGGAAATCTACCTCCCCACGCTCCCTCCACTCCTGTCCAAGTCAGGGCTGTCAGAGAGACAACCATTTTAGTTTATGGCCACTCTGAACAGTGAGAGCTCAACAACAAAATAGCAAGAAATTGTATCACCATAGAAATCACAAATTTGGAAGACTGTGCTATGGCATAGTAGGCTAAGGCTCTGCCTGTGGTACCAGCATCCCTTATGGTCCCCAGTTTGTGTCCTGGCTGCTCCTCTTTTGATCCAGCTCTCTGCTTATGACCTGGGAAAGCAGTGGAAGATGGTCCAAGTGCTTGGGCCCCTGCACCCACATGGGAGACCCAGAAGAAGCTCCTGGCTCCTGGCTTCAGGTTGCCCTAGCTCTGTCCATTGTGGCTATTTAGGAAGTGAATCAGCAGATGGAAGACCTTTCTCTCTGTCTCTCTCTGTCTATAATTGTACTTTTCACATAAATAAATAAATAAATCTTTTTTTAAAGTGAGATTCACAATCATCTCCTTTTAAAAAGATTACAACTTTGATAAAGTCATAAGAATCCCATTTAGTCAGACTCCTCTCAAGAAAATAACTAATGAAAACCTGTAATTCTGTGCTGATAGGAGAGGGGAACCCTGTGAAATCTCTGACTTCTTATGATTTCATGGCTTTTTATTGTCAAGATGGTGAGGAATTCCTTTAATGCACTTGTGATACCAATAGGTGCTTAATAAATGCTTTGTGAAAAAAGATATTTGCTGTTGTAATTAATTGGCCTTTCTCAGTAAACCCTAGAGTGCTTCATATTGATTGTTGTCAGAATTATTTTATTTAGTGATAATATCCTTATCCATTCCCTATTCCAACACTTTATTTTCTCAAAATGGAATACAATAAACAATACCTGGGATAGAAAGACTGTAAGAGACACAAGATGAAGGGGAAATGACTCATTGGTAAGTGATGGTTTATTAGTTCAGGCTGCTATAATACCATATATTAGATGTATCGCACAACATAAATGTATCTGTCACTCTTTTAGAGACTGGAAGTGGGAGACCTGGGTGCAGCATGGCCAGGTACTTACTTGGGGAAGGCATTCTTCCTAGCTCTGTCCTTACATAGCCTTCCTACATCATGGGTTCACAGATTCTCTTTTCTGCTCCATTTTATAAGGGCATCAGTTCCATCATAAGGGCCTCATTCTCATCACCCAATTTAACCCTTATTAATTTCCAAAAGCCCCACCTCCTAATATCCCATTAGAATATTTTGGGTAAACAAACATGCTATCCTTAACAGTGTGTTATAAAAGTTATCCACATGATTCATTTCCTTTCTGATTAGAACCTTTGACAGTTCTCATTTTGGCAACATCACACACCACGAAACATTTTTAAAAGAAATTGTGACACAAGTTGAGTTTCCTTTATCCAAAATGTTGGGGATCAAGAGGGTTTCAGGTTTTGGATTTGGGAATATTTGCATATACATGATGAGCCAGCCTTGGATGGGACCCAAGCCTAAAGACAAATTCGACTTATTTTTCATGTACACGTAGGCCAAAATGGTTTTGTACAGCATTTTAGTGTACTTATGTTTTGTCTGTGACCTATCATATGAGATTAGGCATGGAATTTTCCACTTGTAGCACCATGCCAGTGTTTAAAACATTTTTTATTTCAGAGGGTGTTATGATATTTTCATGTTAGGAATGCTTAATCTTTCGAAAATACCAACAGCACTGTATTAGTCTATTTTTGTTACTATAATTAAATACCTGAGAACTTTTAATGAGAAAAGGTTCATTTAGCTCTCAGGTTTGGAGGCTGAAAGTCCAAACAGCGTGGCACCTGTTCCCATGATGACCCCCCTGACTGCTTCACATCATGAGGAAGGTACTACAATGGCAGGGGATGATGAGATAGAGGGAGAGAGGAAGAGAGGAAGACAGAGATAGAGAAATATCACATCTCTAGGCAGGGACACAAAGAGTCTGAAAGGTAGCCAGGCTTTCCCTATGTAACAGTCCTCTCACAAGAACAAACTCAGTGGCCCCATGAGAACTCCCTTATTCCCTTCTGAGAGCACACTCCCAGTGAACTGAGGACCTCTGACCTACAAGACCCCACCTCTTAACACTGTCACACTGAGGATCAAGCTCCCAGCATACACACCCTTGAGAGACAAACTCAACCCATATCCAAACCATAGCAAACAAACAAAAGTAGTAGAGAAATGGGAAACTCTACAATGTGAAATAAGTGAACCAAAATAAAAAATAGAAAAATAAGTTGATGGGAAGCAGAAGAGAAAACAAGAACTGGCTTGGCAGTAGGGTGAGGACTTTGGACTATGGCATTGTGGTGATAAGCTCTAGCCTGGGTACGAAATGTAACATTAGTTCCATGACACCTATTTTTGGTGATCCTTGAACCCTCAAAGAAACAGTTGCACCATTTTGTAAGGGCATGCACCTATATACATAATATTGTCATATCAATGACTATAGGATAGGCTGGCTTCAATAGACCAAATATTTAATAAGCAAAAGCAATGTATTTCCTTGCAGAGATGGATACAATTCAGGAGGAGCAAGGGAGAAATCTGGAAAAAAGGAAATGCATTATTCTAAGCCTTCCTCACCTTTCACTCTGAATGCTCAGGTGAGTGACAGCAGTGATGAAGATCTGAGTAGGGGTCAGAGAAAAACTGCTGAGAACGATGTCGCCTCTCAGGGACTCGCTCATCCTCCTTTTCAGATGTGATAGGACGGGCTTCTGGAGAGTGAGGACATTCTGGTTTACAAAGCTGTATTTTGGAACTGTCATGCTATTGGGATGATTACCATGGGAGCTAGGCAATGAGTTGCTGTCCATCAGAATTATATTCTCTCGTGATCATGCCGTTGAACATCCCTACTCTTTATATGGCTTCACCTACAAAGGAGCAACAAATGAGTACATACTCATAGACAGTGATAAGGAATAAAATGAATAATCATGCAGAGTAAACAGATGCAACCCAACTTTTTTGACACTAGTGCTACTTCCCTAATCCAAGCCAACACGTGAATTATTTGAATTCTCAAATGCTTTCTAGGTGCTGCACTTTCCCTTTTGCAGTACATTGTTCTTGTAACTCAATGATCCTAAGACTACCAGAAAGAAACTTGCAATGGCCAGTATTGTGGCTGATCAAGTTACGCTGCCATTGCTTGTATGCCAGCATCTCGTTTCAGAGTGCCAGTTCGAGTCCCTGCTACTCTGCTTCCCATCTAGTTCCCTGCTAATGTATGTGGAAAGGCAGTGGAAGATGGACCAAGGACTGACTCCTGTTTTCAGCCTGGTCTAGCCCTGGCTGTTGGAGCCATTTGAGGAGTGACCCAGTGGATGACAGGTCTCTCTCTCTCATCTTTCAAATAAATAAATACATTTCATTCTTCTGTTTCTGCAATGTTTGTTTAGAAGAAATTGATCCTTCCCCATTGTGTGTTCCTAGCACCTTTTTTTTTTTTTTAAAAATTTTTTTTTCTTAAGATTTATTTATTTTCAAAGAGTTACAGAGAGACAGAAAGGGAGATCTTCCATCAGCTGGCTCATTTCCCAGAGGCTATAAAGGCCAGTGCTGGGACAGACCAAAGTCAGGAACTTCATCTGGGTCTCCTACATTTATAGCAGGAACCCAAAAATCTTACACTGCTTTCTGCAAGCCATTAGCAGGGAGCTGGATTGGAGGCGGAGCAGCCAGGACTTGAACCAGCACCCAAATTGGATGCTGGCGCTACAGCCAGCACTTTACTGCTGCACCACAGTGCTGGCCCCTCCTAGTGCCCTTTCCAATAATCATGTGAGCCTAAATGCATAGGTTCATTTCTTGCCTCTCCATTCTGTTCCAATGGCTACTGTTTCCATTTTTATGCTAGTCTTGTGTTGTTTTAATTTCTCTAGCTTGGTAATATAGTTGGACACCAGGTAATGTGATACCTTCAGCTATATACTTTGTACTCAAGACTGCTTTGGTTGCTTTTATATCAATTTTGAAATTGTTTTTTCTATTTCTGTGAAAATGACATTGGCATTTGGAGAATGACTACATTGAGTATTCTTTGGATAGTATTTTAATAATTAATTCATTCAGTCCAGAAACAGGAAATATTTTTTCATTTATTTGTGTCTTATTCCATTACTTTCATTTTTTTAAAGATTTGTTTTATTTCTTGAAAAGCAGAGTTACAGAGAGAGAGAATCATTCACTGGTTCACTCCCTAAATGGATGCAATTGATATAGTATTAATCAAGGAGATAGGATTAGGCTTATGAGCTGTAGATCACACCCCACCCCACCTTCTGCGTATCTCCTGCCCACCCCTACCTGATCCCCACTACATAGGCCAACCTGTTGATCAGACAACATAACTACTCTCCTTTTGGAAGCAAAATAAAAGGTATGGATCTTCCTGGGCCTGCGAGCTGTGGTATTTTGAGGTCATTCTTGCCCGCACAGTTTTCTCTACACAGTTCTAACCTATGAACTCTTGCACATGGGCCCTGATCTGCTCTCTGCCTGATATGGAACTTTCAGTTCACCTTTCTGAATCCCCTCTCCCTCAAATAAATCCCTCTTGTTCCTGTGAATTTTTCTCTTCCCCAGATAAATTCTAAACCTTACCATGTTGCCTGTCTAAGCTTAGGATTTTTATATCTAAGCTTAGGATGCTTCTTTAAGCTTGAGACAAGAATCCGAAGTATTAATTTTAAAATATGTTCTTTGATATTATAGTGGCCAGGGCTGGGCCAGGCTGAAGCCAAGAGCTTCATTTGGGCCACTCAAACGTGAAGCAGGAGCCCAAACACTTGGGCCATCTTTCTACTGCTTTTCCCAAATTATTAGCAGGAAGCTGGATTGGAAGTGAAGCAGCCAGAACTCCAGATACTAGTGTTGTAGGTGGCAACTTAACCAGTTACACCACAGTGCCAGCCTGTCTTCCATTTCTTTCAAGGTTTTATCATTTTCAGTGCACAGAGCTTTCACTGCTTTGGTTATATTTATTCCTAAGTATTTTTGTACCTAATGTAAATGGCATTGTTTTCTTGATTCTTTTTCAGATAGTTTGTTGTTAGTACATAAGAATTCCACTGAGTTTTGTGTGCTGATTTCATATGCTGAAACTTTGCTGTGTTTGCTTATTATTTCTAGCAGAGTTTTTGTGCAGTTTTTAGGATGATCTGTGCATGATGTTACCAGTAAGCAGCAACAATTTCACTACTTCCTTTCCTGTATATGCCTTCCATTTCTTTCTTCTGCCTAATTGCTCTGCCAGTGGCCTCCAGCTACTGCTTTTTATATGTTAATTTTGTATCTTAAATCTTTTTATTTCATTTATGGATTCTAATACAGTTTTATGTGGTCTTTAGAGTTTTCATGTGTAAGATCCTATCGTGGGGATGGGGCATTTAGCTTAGCAGTTCTGATGCCAGTTAAAACACCTGTGTCAGACATCAGAGTACCTGCATTCAATCCCCAGCTTGAGCTCCAGAATCCAGCTACCTGCCAGTGAAGACACTGGGAGGCAGCAGTGATGGTGGAAGTAGTTGGATTCCAGGCTTCACCCAGTGAGGTCTGGACTGGTTTCCCAGTTCCCAGCTTCAGCCTGACTAACCCCTGGTCATTGTGACATTTGGAGAGTGAAATAGAGGATGGCAGCTCCCTCTCTCTCTGTCTCCATCTCTCTGCCTATTGCATAAACAAATAATGAATATAAATCTTAAAATGAGCATGTCCTCTGCAAGTGAGGCAATTTCTTCCTTTTTAATTGAATTGGGTGCTCTTTCTTCCTTTTTTTTTTTTTTTTTTTGTCTAATAGTTCTGGCTAGGACTTTTCTTTTAGTACTGTAATGAATAGAAGTGATAAGAATGGGTCCTCTTGCTTTGTATAGGATGTCAGAGGAAGATTTTAGCCTTTCTCCAATTGGTTATAATGATAGCTGTGGGCTTTTTACAAATAACTTTTGTTGTGCTGAAATAAGGTTCTTTTAGACCTATTTTATTCAGCGTTTTTGACATGAATGTATGTTGAACTATGTCAAATGCTTTATCAGTTTGGTCCAGTTAGTTTCATCCTGCATTCTGTTGGTGTAATAGATTGCATTAATTAATTTTCAGTTATTGAAATGTTCTTGGGTGTCAAGGATTAAATGTTCCAACCATGGTGTGTCATTCTTTTAATGAGGTGCTCAAGTTGGTTTGCTGTTATTTTACAGAAGATGTTCGCATATGTGTTCATAAGGGATGTTGGCCACAAGTTTTCATATATTTTAGTGTTTTTTTTCTGGTTGTATAATCAGTAATGCTGGACTCCTTAAATGAGTTAGGAAAGGTACCCCATTTTCAATATTTTGGAAGAGTTTGAGAAGGATATATCATTAATTCTTCTTTATTTGGTAGAAATTACCCATGAAGCCATCTAATTCTAGGATTTTATAAAATTCTTATGTTCTGAATAAACAGATGATAATGTACATAATTATTGTGTACAGTGTGATGTTGTGATTCACATATATTGCTATGTTTGGATGTAGTCTGTCACCAAAAGCTTCATGTGTTGGAAGTGTGGTCCTCAGTGTTCAGAGAGATGTAGAACCTTTAATATGTAGGGCCCAGAGGAGGTCCTTAGGTCTTGGGGAATACTGTCCTTGGAAAGGATTGAGGTAGTTTTCATGGGATCCTGAGCTGGTTCTTATGAGAGGGTTGTTAGAAAGGTGTGAGCCTGGGGGCCAGCATCGTGACTTAACAGGTTAAGCTGCCACCTGCGATGCCATCCCATGGGGGCACCAGTTAAAGTGGCTGTTCCACTTCCAATCCAGCTCCCTGCTAATGTGCCTGGAAGAGCAGCGGAGATAGCCCAAGTCCTTGGGCCCCTGCATCCACGTGGGAGACCCAGATGAAACTTGTAGCTCCTGGCTTCAGCCTGGCCCAGCCCTTTCCATTTTGAGGCCATTTGGTAAGTGAAAAAGCGATAGGAAGATCTGTCTCTGTAACTCTGCCTTTTGTAGCTGAATGATTGTATGCTTTCTTTCATCTTTTAAGATTTTTATTTATTTATTTGAAAGTCAGAGTTATGAAGGGGGGTTGGGTAGAGAAACAGAGAAATGTTCCATCTGCTGGTTCACTCCCTAAATGGCCACAATAGGCCCATATCGGATGCCAGGGCCACAGGCTGTGGCTTTATCCACTGCACCAACAGCATGGGCCCCTGTAAATCTGCCTTTTGAAAAAATAAAGTAAAAAATCTTAAAACCAGATGTGAGGCAGCGTCGCGGCTCACTAGGCTAATCTTCTGCCTGCGGCACCAGCACACCAGGTTCTAGTCCCGGTCAGGGCGCCGGATTCTGTCCCGGTTGCCCCTCTTCCAGTCCAGCTCTCTGCTGTGGCCCGGGAGTGCAGTGGAGGATGGCCCAAGTCCTTGGGCTCTGCACCCACATGAGAGACCAGGAGAAGCACCTGGCTCCCGGCTTCGGATGGGCTCAGTGCGCCGGCCGCGGCGGCCATTGGAGGGTG